CGCATCTCTGCGTTGCTTCAGAGCACGGGCATTTTCCTATCGGCAGCCTCTCATCGGACGCCCAAACACATGGGAGGCTTTGGATATGCCGCCTGCTCCGTCGAGTTTGCACGAAATCTGACTTGGAAACGGGAGCGAAACACCGTAGCCACGGATCATCTCAATGCCAGCTTCAGCGAGGCGGGCTGGCCGCTTGCTCTCACGTTAAAGGATGATAGACGGGCAAGCATTGTTACTGTTGACGATATGGCGAAATTCCAGCGTGACTACATCGACATCATTCCTGAAGCGTGGAGTGTCCTGTCGATCGCGCTAAGCGACAACCGCAAGGATTTGTGCATCACCAAGTTACAATCAGGCCAGAGCCCTTTCGTCTTACGACTACCGCTGGAGCGTGTGGCTTCTCGCGACGGCGAGGACGAGCTGTTCGACTTCCAGCATGGTCACGACGAGCTTATGGATATTATCCAGGCGACCAACACGAGTTGCCACAACACTGGTGACTACACTGCAAAGGGGGCCAAATCAGCGTGGTGGGCTCAGCGCGAGAATCTGGACAACAGATTCAAGGATCTCCTCGACAATGTCGAGCAGGTCTGGCTCGGTGGGTTCAAGGGCATCTTCTCCCAACATCGTCATCGCGCCGATCTCATCGCCAAGTTCCAAAAGGCCTTTTCCAAGATTCTTGATAAGCATCTGCCCTCGCGCAGGCAGGTCCGAGGAAAAAAGACTAGCAAGTCCCCCAAGATTACCTTGGAGCCGCGTATCCTCGATCTTTTCGTTGGCCTGGGAGACCCGTCTATGCCGGACAGCGATCTTGAGGAGCCTCTGAACGATCTTCTCTACTTTGTCGTGGACATTCTTCAGTTCCACGGCGAGAGAAACGCCTACGATGAGATTGACTTTGACTCCATGGTCTTGGATACGTTTGATGCTCTTCAGGCGTACCATAACGCTGCCAAGACTTCGGAGCCCGAGGAAGGCGCCCACAGCATTCTCATCCTCGACAAGGCTCTCCATGCCTTCCCTTGGGAATCACTCCCATGCACGGAGGGTCTGGCGTATTCTCGCGTTCCCTCATTGTCCTGTCTGCGTCGACTACTTCTAGAGCAGCGCGAGGCCCGAGATTCTGATGACGAAAAGGCCCACCACCGACACACTGTATCACCTGTCGGTGGCACGTACATTCTGAACCCCGGCTCTGATCTCAAGAACACTCTCGCCACTTTCGAAAAGCCCCTCAAGGAGAAGCTGGGCGAGTCCTGGACAGGCATCGTCTCGCGTACACCGACCGAGGACGAGTTCGAGGGAGCGCTCAAGAAGTCTGACATACTCCTCTACTTTGGCCACGGCAGCGGCGCGCAGTACATTCGAGGCAAGACGATCCGCAGACTGGAGAAATGCAAGGCTGCGGCGCTGTTGATGGGGTGTAGCTCGGCGTCCCTGCAGAACGTCGGCGAGTACGAGTGCCACGGTCCAGTATGGAACTACATGCTCGCCGGGTGTCCCGCCGTTGTGGGCACGTTGTGGGACGTGACGGATAGGGACATTGACCGGTATGCGGGCCGGTTGTTTGAGGAATGGGGACTGATGGAAAGGGGCACGTTTGTTGAGGACAGCTCGAAGAAGAAGGGCAAGAGCAAGGGACTATTTGCCACGGAGAAGAAGAGCAAGGCGAAGAAGGAGACGACAAAGGCTACCGGGCGTGGGAACGCGTCGCTCGTGGAGGCTGTCGCCAGGGCTAGGGACGCCTGTCGATTTAGGTACATCACGGCTGGCGCGGTATGTGTATACGGCATTCCGGTGTATATTGGCAAGGACAAGGCCGAGGGTGCTTGATGGGGGGGTGGGGGGTGTTTGTTGGTTGACTGCGTCACTTTGGGGAAAGACTCGAGGGCAAGTCTGGTGTCTGGTGTTTGTCGTATTCCAGGTTGGGGAGAGGAACCGGAGCATTAGAGCAGCATTGCATTGGAACGTGGAGTTTTTGGAGATTTCAACGTTGCTGTTGTCATTGTCTACTTGGACGGGTTTTCCGGGAGGCAGGCATCCAGGGGTTAAGGAGATATTGTGACTGGTCCCTCCCGCCGTAACTATAGTGTCTTATGATAATGAAATGAGGAAAGTTGTGGATGTGAGCAGAGTTTTTTTTTCTCCGACCCTTTTTCCCGTGTGATGTTGCGTGCGGGAGGAGGTACGGGAGGGGGTTCAGTTACGCCGGTGGATCTCATCTATCTACGCGTCTGTCTGTCTGTGTGTATGGTAGGTGATCGAGGGAAGGTATGAGGGAGAGTATGTTGGTGAAGCTTCATCCTTGGAGATGAAGGGGTGTGCGTATGGGTAGGATGCCATGGAGGGGATCGGTGTGAATGGCCAGGGAAGACTTAGGGAAGGCAAGGGAAGGTGAGGTTTTGGGCGAGGAGGAAAGGGGTGAACATGGTGGGTGTTGTTTTTTTTGGGGGGGTCTTGATCTATACTGTCACTTGCGATATTGAACATCGTCTGGTTATTGTCACCGTGTCGTCTTTGTAATCTTGTTTCTTGAGGTTGTGGTGAAGAGAATGTTCCTTGGGTGATGTAGAAGGCAGGGGGTAGCGAGGGAAGTGGAAGGAGAGTGGACGTGGAGTGAGATGAAGAAGTAGGAACGAGGAAAGGGAGGAGAGAGGGGAGGATGAATCCTGAACTTGGCCGTGGTATACGACGGGTTGTCCTGGGAGATTGGGGTATGTGTCGTGATGTTGATGCCAATGTTGACGTACGATTGCTTGGATGGACACGGATAGGGAGACGAGAATAGGTCCGAATCGAAAATGCCCGGCTTGACGGGGATGATATGCTTGTGTATCCTTTACACCCTTCTTCTTCTTCTCCTTCTCCCGTATCTCTTTACCGTTGTCTTTTGGTATTGATCCCCGAAATGTCTCCGAGGGAGGAGGGCACATGGACATAGTCTCATGAAACCTCCATGACGAGGGAAAAGGGGGGGTGGGAAGGGTATGGATGGTGCTCTTCCCGTGTTGAGTGGTGATGTTGAGCATCTCATGTCTTGATTCTATTCACGGTCCGGGATGAATGAGCTTCTCACGGCCTCTTGACTACGTTCCCGGGGAAAAGGGGGAGGGAGGTGAAGCGTGAGTGAGCGTGAGAAAGCTTCGGGACGGGAAGAAAGGGGACATGGACCAAGACTCGTTTACTATTCTCGTCCGCCTTTTGGATGGACTAGCGAACCAGATCCCCGGGTAGCTTCTAGACGGCTTCGATACCGGCAAGCATGGTGTCGACAAACGCAGACGTGGCCCATCCCGAAGGAGCACCGAACGAAGCTCACATCCCTCTCGCCTTGGGCTGAACCCATCTCACACCTAGGAGGTAAACGAGGTTTCGATAGGAAGTAGGGAATAATGAGAGTCGAATATCTATAGCATCGCCTATTACAAGCCCCCTCACGCAAAAGCCAGGCTCGTGAAGGGTGCAAGGCGCTCGCGTGTATCAAGCATTCACCTCGCACTATAGACTACGCTCCACGATTGGATACCTTCTTTCTCCCTTTAGTCTCAGAGAAGTTTGTCGCGTCCCAGAAGTTTGTGTCCCAGGAGCCTGGATCGGGAAGACGGGATGACCGAATGGAGAATTTCTCTTTCTATTCTTAAACTCTACCTTAGATCCCGCGATGGGATACCCAGATCTTAGGATCCGTGGTGGTGTGTAACTATGTTTTACAACGTCATGGCCAATATTCTTTTCATCGGTGAAGTTGGATGCTGCGAGGAGGCTATGCCACACTCCCCTCCCCTCCTCAACCTCACGAAACGGAACGGCCGATGTTCCCGCTTCTATTCCTGACTACCGTACTTGAAAGATGAGATGTACAGGTTGATGGTGGTGGAGGGGTAGGAACCACGACTCGGATGCGATGCCTCCACCGTCGATAGAGCAACGACGAGGTCAGATGAGGGAGGAGAGAGAGGCCCGCCTCATCCTGCCATTGGAGGACCCAGAGAAGCGAACCTCTGCGCCGATGACTCTATTCCTGTCTCTAGAAACAACGGGCATCTCTCGGAATCTGATTTGTTTGGAATGACGTGGACGAGCACGTCAAAACGGAGCGAGCATTAAGGGGTCGGATCGAATCGTCTTGTCTCGTCATTGGCTTTCCCGCAAGAGATCCTGTTCAGAAAACCTCCTGGACTGGTGGCCTCTCTACATAGGAACCGGAAAATACGAGCACTCGCTCTCTCCGAAGACATCGAGCTCGTCTCTTTAACAAACAGAATCCCTGCGAAGACGGGTCGACGGGTCTCGAGATGAAGTTGCAGACGGGCCGATGAGGGACAACCGTTACGCGGGCAGGATCTCGGGGGGAGCCATGCTGCCGCTTGGGCTGGGCAGACGCGGAAGGTCTCCTCGATGGATGCTATATCAATACCGGTATGGTCCATGAGGGGGAAAACGTTGCGCCGCCTCCCTCGGACCCAGCTCGTAATGATGAGATGAGGCCTTCCATAGGCTGGCGCGGCTCCAAGGCCCTGCGTTCCGAGCCTAGTACATCGGGTACATCTAACGGCGTCTCCGCGGTATGAGGGCAGAGAGAGATGAAGAAGGATGTACGGATACGGGAGAGAACGCGTCTGAGCGTCGTCTATCTGTATCTGTATGCCTGCACCTCTCGAAGCGCGTGAGACGTTCATTTCCCGAAGGAGAAAGGCAAGATGGCGGATGGAAAGGGAAGAAAGAAAGGCGTTCTGTTCAAAAATTAGCAACAAGCCCTCCTGGTCCTGACTAGTCTCACAGCGATTTTGAACATCATCTTAATTCATCCTCCGGGCGATCTTTGCTAGCCCTCTTCGGATGCAAGACCGAAGGGCTGCGGCTGTGGACAAGGCTGTAGAGTCAAAGCTGGTGGCCTGGCGTCCATCTTTTGAGAATCCGAGACTTGAAGGCCCAGTCGCCTTGCTTCGTCTCCGCCTCCCTCCGAAGCCTGTCACGCCTGTCAACCCCTTCCTTCAGCCCACCAGCCCGAGCTGCAAGGAGGGATTCGGAGCCTTGTCTCTCATCGTTAGTAGTGCAGATCGAGGCGTAGGGCCGTGGTTGTGGCGTTGATGTGAAGAGCCAGTCGTATCTTTGGACGTGCGGACGGAGGTGGGTCCGCTGGGATTGAGTGACGGGGGGGCTTGCGCGGGAGAAAAATGGGAATGACAGGGACTTGGACGAAGAGAGAGTGGAGAATATCCCCGGGAGGGGTGGGATATACGGCGGTACATGCCACAATACACAGTAATGAAGGAAAGGGGGGCGTGCAGCAAAAGTCTGTTTCCCAGGCTGGTATCGAAACGTCGCATATCCTTACCTGTATCCTTACCTCACGGTTAGCTAAGGCGCCCACCTAGGCAGGTAAAGGAAAGGCACGGTGCCGACAGGGAGCCGTGATGATAATTCGCCAGTAATAAGGGTGAAGAGTGGATTCTTCCGTCGGGCGGCCGGATCACCGGGCGGCAGGTGCACGCTTGAACACTCCAGATTGCACCGAGAACATGCGCCGTTAGTGCCATTACATTCGTTGTATTGCGTCTACTGGTAGGGCGAGCCGAGGAAAACCAATGACAACTGACTGTTTTCTAGGTCATGTAAGCCTGCAAGGTATCTTAATTATCTGGCTCCGGGACGAAGACCGTTTGGGATCATCGCTAAGGACTTAGTAAGGCCAGCTGGGGCCTCATTCTCAAGACTCAAAGGCATCTTTGGAGCTTCTTACCCTTCCGAATCTGTGCTCCTCATACTTCGCCCCGTCTAGGTGCGTATGACCGAACAACGTGGACGCTAACGAGGTCTCATGGGAGACAGTTCCTTGCGGGTTCCGCCGCCGACGACATACATCGTAGGAAAACATAATCACCCCGAGGTCCCTACGCGTCGTTTGCTCCTCCAGTACGGACGTGGTCAATGTCGCTGCTCAGCGTCTGACGGGATGCGGCCCTGAACATGTTGTCCGTCGGGGACCACATTTGGTCTCCGGAGCTGAGATCGTCCCGTCTTCCAAAGTCAAATATCAGGCGGGATCGTAAACTGTGTGCAACGGTCGCCTAAAAAACACCTATAACCAATAGGACCTTAGCGACAGATTGCCCAACCATAAGTGAGTGCTGCAAGGCCCTTTGTGCTTCCTATTCGTCTCCTCCCACTGTCTACTGTGTAAGCCAACGGGACGTGTAAAGATTCTCCCTGCCTCAACTCGGTGTGTCTCTTGCGAGGCGTATACTTGGCTGATCGACCCCAAACACGTCTCCTCCGAGCCAAACAACCTGCTTCATCCTCGTGTTTGACAGCTGCATCGTTCCGTGAGATATACGTGTTACGTTACGCCTGAGCAGTTTTTCTCCTTCTACGGTACGCTCGGCTCAAGTCCGTCTAAAGTCGCGATGTGACCCGAAGCGTAAGTTCGCGAAGGCGTACGTGGCACACGCCGACCCCTTTTGGCGACCATGAAGCAGCCGCGTGCGCACTCCGTGGTATCTTGTTCCGAAATCTAAGCATATCGGTCCGTGTTACACATATCAACACACCACGCTTGGTTCCTCGCGTGCCGTAGTAGTCTCTCGGAAGAATGCGCCAACCTGGTTTTCGTCGGCACGTTCATAACTATCGTCCTTTTAAAGCTTGTCCACTCACAGGCCAATACAGCTCGAAATCCTTCATCGGCTACGCGGATGCTTGGTTGCGCTGCGTCGCTACTGAGGAACAGGGTTCATCAGTAACGGCAAAGGGTCCACCATGGCGTGAAAAGGAAAAAGAAAAAAAGTCTGGCCAGCCATAGCTGCTAGTACCTAGGTATCACGGATAAGCATGGCAAGGGTTTGATGATTGTCCCTTTGCGAGGTGTCAGGAAGGGGGGAGGCGATGGAGATCATCCGGCGGGGGTTCGTGGAGAAGAACGGGCTTGCATGTACACAGTAGACGTACATCGCTCGATCCATATGTGACCACACAGGCCGTGGCATCCTTGGTTGATGAGTATTTCTCGCCGACAGCACGCAGGTTGCATAGCCAGTCATGTATTTACCCAAGCATCGACAAGGAGCAGGGCGGTCGGGGAAAGACAGAGACTGGGGCGCGCGGGGGATGTGTGCAATGTTGCCGTACACTACGCAACGAGATGAGATTTGCGAGGAAAGCTTCGAGGTACATGCCTATTCCTTTTGATGAAATCAACACTGTCACCTCGAAGGAGGGGGTACGGGCAGATGGAACACGAACACGCCAAGTAAAAACCACTCGTAGTGTCGGAAGATTGTTGACCTGATGAGTTGTCGGTATGCTACAGTCGAGAAGTACTCCGTAGAAGAGTACCGCCATGGTTCAGCCTGTATCTGTAATGGTTGGCAGCTTGGGAGAGCCAGAGCAAGGTTGTAATGCCTGTGGATGCGACGTTGACGAGAGTTTGTCGCCGTCAGCCCTCCGAGATGACGGACGACGGTGACAGGTGAGCAAGCATGGGGCTTGTCGTCCACCCGGACAATCCTGTCAGAGCTTGCGAGAACCCTACGACAGCATCTTCGTAGTTGGCTCTTCTGGTCGACAAATGTTGTTCAATCTTGGGCAGATTGTCGTGGCTCTGAAGTTCGACAATCCGGCTTGTAAGGATGATGTGATTGGCGCCGGGAGCGCTAGTATCGGTGATGATACATTAGCACGACGGAATAAGAACGAGAAGAGGTCGCGTACTTGCCTGGGATACACTGTCTTGTTTAACTCTGTTCCGTCTAATCTATACCGTTTGCTGGCATCAAGTAGCTGGCATCTGGCGGAATCCAGAGGTCTCAGCTGCACCGCCTGGGCGGCGCGATTTCTCGAGACAGGCCGCATCAGCAAGTCGTCATCGCCGGGATGAGGACGAAGAAGTCAACCATGGAAGTCGTCAGGGGGTTCCGGGGAGGGATGGAAGGCTTAACACAGTAGCGTTAATGCAGGTCTCGAGCACGGAGGGTGGGTATGAAACCGGAGCAACTCTGGGGGCAATCCCAGTGTAGTTGTGCCGCCTCGACGCTGATGAGGTTGAGAATGTGTCGATCCCAGGAAGCTCTCGGTGGTGGAAGGGCATGATTGGGGCTCCAGCTCTCATCTGAAGTTGGCCTTTCTCGAAGGGGACTTAGAACGAAGTTAAGAATAGGTAGGCGTGGCGTGGCGTGTCAACGGCGGTTCCCACTCCTGTTGCGACTGACATTTTGATGGTCTGGCTGGCGGCGTGTCAAACTCTTCTCGACAAGTCGATCCAAGACGGCGTCAAGGGCAAGCTCGATTGTCGTTCAGGGGCTGCGCCAGGGATGTAGTCGCCAACATCATGGGAGGTTTTGCTCGCCCCTGTACCTGGAATGTAGTCCCCGGAGAGGAAGACAACATCGATTTCCGTCGTCGGTCAAAGCAAACCGGAGCGGGGCTGAGAGGGAGAAGTCGACTACAGTCGATGAAAGGAGAGATGTTCAGGAGGCTGATTTGGAGAAAAGCCGGTAGACGAGTCGTTGACGCTGGGCGATGATGATCTTGCAGCCCAAGATGCGGCGTAGTTTAGGTTGAGGTTGGAGGGGCACGGAGGGGGGCAAGTAGTGTAAGGTAGAAAGGTAGCACGCACGCACGTAGGGAGGTCGCCATGTGAATGCAGCTCATCTGAAGCCGGTGCACACTAAGGCAGGAATTGTGGAACGAGGTTTTCCTCTAGCTGCTAACATTATTCATTTCCAGGTCGGAATTACACAAGCCGGAGCTGGGGAAAGGTGAACCGCGTTGTTTTAGCGGACCTAGAAGGTCGGAATGTGAATGCAGTAGTAGCAGAGTCAGAACATCCAGACACGAGCTGTCCCAAGGCATGAGATGCATCAATAGTGAGGAGAGAAAAGCCTCTAAGGTGCCTGATAGGGGTCATACTGCTTTGCAGTCCGACGGCGAAAGCGTCGAAGTTCATTAAGGTACTGAAGACTTCTGGAAGCCCCGACCTTGGAAATGTTGCAAAGGCGAGATGGACTTGTTGAAGTGGATACGAACATCATCTCAGCTTGTCAGGTACTGGTACTCTTTCCCTCTACGGGTTCTCTATACGTAGCCAAGTACCTTTATCTGAGATGTCAAGCACGTATGGAGTACACCTGGAAGTCTGTAAATCAAGATACCTTTCGTCTGGGTTCGATCCCTTAGTGCCTGAGGTAATACTTTCTAAGCAGGTACTTCGTTGTGGGGGAATTAAGCGTGCTCTGTTTCGATCTTGCTGCAGCCCCTTGTCCTACGCACTGGTCAATCATCGACCGTCGAATGGGGGGTGGTATTGGTTATGCCTGCCCCGAGTGCTAGTCTACCTTGTGCAATGAAAGTCGAACGATTTCTGATATTTGGCCGACATTCAGGACAATGCGAAATGTCAGTTTGCGAGACCCAGGAACGTACCGTAAGGTATTGGAGAATCGTCCAACGTCAACGGTCACCAATACTTCCGTTCTCGTGACGACTTCAGCACAAGCCCTCCACTCCAATTAAACCCTATCGCCGATGATACGGAATGTCAATGCGGAATTTCCTTCCTATCAATTCGGAGCTTCTACGACCGCAAAGCTATGTCATTTGACTGGATTGAATAGAACAGCTCAAGGTTTTGATGGCTTGACGGCTTGCGCGGTTGGCTAAGGTAGTCTGGCAGCGTCACGTAATTGCGCCGTTAAGCTGTAGCTCGAGAGCCTTTACCTTGTCTGGTGATAGAGCCCGGATTGGTCCCCGAGCCACGAACCTTCACTCACCGGGATGAGTTCCGTAGTACAGCAAGTGGCTTCTGCTGGGGTCAAGGCACAAAGCACAAGCCAGGGCTCAAATGTGAGGTAGCCATCTCCAGATACGTCGCTGTTGATCATTCACTGATCGTGTGGCTTGGAAAATTCATGTTAGTGTATGGAGTAATGTTCTGCGGCACCTTGTTATCCGCAGTGATCTTCAGGACCTGTGGATACCGGAATCCTAGTAGGTAGCCATGTAGTGTAGCGATACAGCACTGCTAGTCTGCCGCGGTATCGTGGAGCTTTGCAAATGAAGAGCTTGGGAAACCATCGACCTACAGGCTACAGTCCCGTTTTGAATGTTGACCTGGATAGATGAATGGAAGGGTCATGCGGATTCCAGATGTGGTTGAACTCTGAGATGAAGAGATCAAAGAAACGTGATGAGTGCCAAGGACTTTTGCTAGGCTTTGAGTCTGGGCCTGTTCCTGACTTGTTGACCTGTTTCCCGGGACTCCTGAACGTGGAGGTCTCAGAATTGTCATCTTGGCACGTGTGGCTCGAATTCCCATCCCATCCACGCCGTCTTC